GACTTAGTTTAGTTTCTTTTCATATTTGGGCAAATTTTCATAATCAGCTGTACTAATGCTAGAATGTGTTCTGGATTCCAGTGGAATACATTTTTTGTTTTAATCATTGCTTAGTGTATTTCCAGATAACTAAAATGCATTTATTTTTCTAATAAGCACAATATAAAATCTGTCACTAAATGTTTGACCTGTCCAACTCAGATGTGATGGTTTTTGTCTTATCCTATATTTTGTTGTTATCCCTTAGAACCCTGTTCTTTTCCAATGAGAGACAGAAAGGGAGGGGATCTGGATGTGATAGGGAGGTGGAGAGGAACTGGGAGGAGCAGAGGAAGTAGAAAATCTAATCAGAACATATTGTATGAGAAAAGAATCTATTCTCGATAAAGGGAAAACACTACATTTTTAACAGTTGTGGATCTTGTGTGATCTACAGGCTACTATTACTAAAGACTGCCTAATGGTATCAAATTGTAGATATTCAGGCAGTACAATAGAGCACTACTTGACTCTTGTTTTTCCCCTTTTACTTTTCAAACTAGAAGCCAAAATGAAACTTCAGAAATCTGAGATTTTTGTTTATTTTGGTTGGTTGGTTTTATTAAGCTCACCTTTTTGTGATTTCTGGTTAAGATGAATTTTGATCAGTTTCCGAAAGAGAACTATCCCTGAAGTACAATGAACTGTCTAGGCAGAAGATTTTTTAGTTCTTATCTTCAGGGATTGACTAAGTTTTCAAAACTTGGCTGAAATAAATTGTATTGCTTTTGAGACTGAACTGGATTCACAATGAAAACATAAACTGATACCTGTTGAAAATACAAATCTAGCTTTTACACTGAATAAAATTCATGTTTTGTAGAATTAGCATTTCCCCCAGAGGACCCTTATTCAAAATTAGGACACACTCTGGCCCACAACATCCATAGGGAATATTTAGGAAAGTTCTGCCAGTCCTAATCACCTCACACATCCTGATCTCAGCACTGAAGGCATTCTTTCACACAACTCTAATGAGAATGTGAATACAGTTAGAGTCTAAGACCTCATTTATGATAAACACTTATGCATGTTATGTTTAAAACCAATTTTACAAACCCTATGACATCTGTATCCTTAGCCATTTTTGGCACTTGGTATGTAAAAGGATGATGAAGCTATAAAATGATGTAGGTAAAATCCGATAGAAAGAGTAGGGTTCATGCTGGGCGGTAGTGTCACACACCTTTAATCCCAGCACTTGGGAGGCAGAGGCAGG